CCCCAAAACCCCAAAACCCCCAAACCCCAAAACCCCAAAACCCCAAAACCCCTTATTAAACCTCAGATTTGAAATGAGGGTAATAATGACTTATTTTATTAAATTATTAGCCACTTTGTTGATCATAAAGTTCCTTAGTGCTTCAAAAATAGATGCATTAACACCTGATTTTAGTAAAGATTCAGAAAAATTTCTATCATGAGTTCATAGCTCAAAGACGAAATGGTGTAGAAGAGAAGCCTCGAAGCAATCTGGTGTCTGATGTGGTATACATGATCATTCTTCTGAGTGAAATAATAGTATGTTGAATAGCTGATCAGACAATGATTCCAGATTTGATTTGAATTCCTCTCTTTTGCTATTCCCAACCAATCGTCCCTCTTGTGGAAAGCAAGAGGCCTTATTTGTTAGATATGGCCAACAAATGAGTGTGCAATCAAAACCAGGATTTGAGATCTGATGGTATTCTTTGTCTCACAAAATTAATACGTACGGAGAATTCCAGATTGATATAAGTAATTTAAAAATTTAACTCTTAGTGCAAAGAAGCAAAGTTACGATCCATATCTTCTCACATAAGAAAGGAGAGATGATAAAGAAGCGGGGAGAAATCAAGGAAGAAGACCATGGAAATTTTGCTCGTGTGGATCCCAAAGAAACTATATATCTGCTAGCACTAGCAGATAAAGAAGACTCTGGGGTCAACCTAACAGCCAAATTTGTCGAAGTTAGGTAAGAAATTCAATGGACAAATCCTTCAATGATAATTTAGGTTGCCGAACTCAGTTATTGCTTTATTGATTGGATGCTTCATTATTATGATATTATTATTAACCCTCTGTTCCATAATGATTGGAGTAATCTGCAAGCAATGCTCACGAGTCGTGATGGAACAGAATGATTCAAATTTAGAGCCACCTAATATTGAAGTACAAGAAAGAGTAAAGAGCAACATGGACAATGAGTCTCAGGTTGAAAGCCCTCCTTTCACGAGAAGTAAGAAATGTGTACATATTATATAATTCTTCCACATTTTCTTATATCATTCTGATTAGGAAAGATCAGAATTCTTTAAAGGAAAATTATCTGAAGAGTCTTTTCCATTACAACTTCTCCTCAAAGGATTCATGTATAACTCTCCTTGTAGGTGATGTGTCTGCATCTACAGAGATCAAGGCAATACAGGAACAAGTAAGCCAGTCTTTTTGAGACAAATTTTATTGTGTAGGAGCAAAACGCGGATTTATCTTACAAAGATTCGGCATTGCTGAAGATATTTCATCCGTTGAGAGGTTCGAAAAGAAGAGGTAGCAACAGTCCTCTTCATATGCCAGAGAGGAGAAGCACTAGAGATATGGAGTAACCTAAGTACCTTTTGATAAATGATCTTTTCTAAACCTCCTATTTTTTCAAAATCCTCTTCTAAAGGTTGAACGGTCTCAATTAATAGTTTCTTAAGTTATCCAAATCTTTATGAAATGTTGATAATTCTTTGACAAAATAGACCAGAAAAATCATTCGTTGATTTATCACTCAAATGCCTGCTCTCTCAGTGCTTTGAGGAGTACCTGCCTTGTCTTGCTTAACTTTGGAGTTCCCGTGTTTGGCTTCATATCCATTAGGAAATACTTATCTTTTCTTGATGTGTTCCTTTGCAAATTACTAAATTTGCACGAAGTTTTAACCAAGATTTCATATAAATTTTTTGAAGAATTTGGTCATGTTTAGGTACATTTTTAGACAAAACAGTCCTTGACCAGAACCCATGCTTTATGACGAAGGTATTTTCAAACTGTAGCATCTCCAATGGGGTTTTGGGGTTTTGGGGTTTTGGGGTTTTGGGG